GTGTATAGATAATGGATGGATGGATACACATGGGCTTTTGTCACCAAGTCAGAAATTAACAAGGAAGCAACCTGGTCTGATTCATGACCAATCTGTAAGTACTGTTCAACTAACCAATCACTTCTTTCTCTTTGTGTCTTGCAGTCATGTCGGCTTTATACATGGGTCAGAGACGTCACAAACAGAAAGACACTCTGATGACGTCAAAGGAGGACATCCGTGATAACGTCATCCACTACGACGACGAGGGCGGCGGCGAGGCCGACACTCACGCCTTCGACATGGGAACTCTGCGCAACACGCACTCACAACGCACCAGCACTCACAGCAGCAGCTCCAAGAAGGAGAAAAATGGCTACGGCGACGGCGTTCTGCTGCACCTCAGCAGTCGCGGCGACGACGTCAGGTCACCTGACATCCACCGAGAAACGGCCTGCGTCATTTCCGCCGTGAACGGAAAGTCTACACTCTCTTCCCGCGGCAGAGTGACTGAGGGCGATGCTGAAATGATCAGGGAGTTCATAGAACACCGGCTGGTGGAGAGCGGCCAGGGTTACGCCGCTCCGCCCTACGATTCATTGGCGACCTACGCTTACGAGGGCGACGGCTCGGTGGCCGGCTCCCTCAGCTCCATAGAGGAGACATTTGTTATTGATGAATCGGGGGATTTTAGCTCCCTCGGTGACTGGGGACAGCCGTTTAAAACCCTGGCTAGCATTCTGGACAGACAGCCGCCTACACTGTCTGAGGAGAGCTGAGAGGAAGTTGGACAGCACTGAGATGTTCGGCAGCCATGTGGGAGCTAGCTCACTTTTCTAGACTTGTTTTTTTTTTTTACTGTGACAGGCACTGGCTAGAGTGATGTAAAGACGTTTAAAAAAGTTGTGGATGTGAGGTAGAGTTGTGGACTGGTTAGCTAGAGAGCAGACGGTCTAGCTACAGGTGTGTGAAGAGTAAACTTGATAGCTCCTCAAAGTGCCTGAGGTACTACGTGTTAACATGTATTTTAATTCATGTTCCTTAATAAAAATATGTTCGACTAATGTTTCAATTTCAATATTAGATCCTCAGTTCTCATTAAAATCTGTCCTCACGCCGAGTGTGTTTGCATGGACAAGCATCCAAGTCAGTATTTACATGCATCTCGCCGACCAAGCAAACATGTAGTTAGTTATTATGGCAGTAGTCTGACTTACCAGATGTAGACTTCAGGTAAAAGTCTACCATTTTTGTGGTGCCTTTAATGCAGCTTTGTCCTCACCTTCCACTATGTGCATGTTACTGTATTCAAAATTCCCTTCTTTACAGGAAACGACAACAACTTCTGAGCAGCAACCCACATGCTGAGACGTTTTTTGAGGATTTGGATGGTCCAATAAGACAGAGGTATGCTTGGTTGTTTTGGTGGATTAGTCATTTTAATGACCATGTCCATCTCCCTTCACTGCTTCCTGTGCTCAGCACCACCTAAGGTGATTGTGATTGGTTTGAAGAAATACAAATAAGCCACAGCGTCTTTACCCCTATGGCAGAGTGATAATGAGTCGCAGCTAGACTCTGTGGAGATGGTCCAAACCAGTCCACTAGCTAAGAATAACTGGGCACCAGGGAATCTAGAAGAAACTATTCATTTGTCCATCCTTTTGGTCTCAATGGCATCGAGTAAAATTAAGCCAGACTCTTACTTCTGCACTTCTGCCAAATCGTTGCAGCCAGATTGCCCAAGAAACCCAAAGTCTATTTTCCTTGACATCGCTTAAGGGCCATGGGACTAATGCTAAAAGATCTGTAGCTAGCACCGTGTCTGCTCAGAACTACGGTGCTATCTGACACTTTAATTCTCTATTGATGAACACATACTCTACATCTGTGTAGATTCTCAGTCATCAGGTCCTGGTGAGCTTAGATCCTAAAGCAGCTCGGTTTCTTTCTGAAGTTCTTGAAGATGTTTCACCTCTTATCAAATAGGCTGCTGCAGTTCTGAACTGAAGAACTGCAAATACTTTTTGTTTTTGTCTGTTTGGTGGCCAACATGGTGGTGTAGCGGTCCGCACTCTTTCCTTAAAGCAGATGATTCTGGGCTAGAACCTGCCAGATGATTGTTCAATGTGGAGTTTGTATGTTCTAAAAGTGCATGAAGGCAGATTCTTCGGTTTCATCCCCACAGTTGACAGACAATGCAAGTTAGATTGCGGGATTTGGCAACTGTAAAT